AGGTCCTAAGTATGTAAGAGAGGTTTATCTTCGAGATCTTTACAATATTCTTACTTGTATTTTATGTTTTCCTCAATCCAATTAGACTTCAAGCAAATATTTATTAGGAAAGAGTCACACAAGCACAATAAACATACACTCCCTGGGGGAGAAAGGACTTTTTGTAAACAATTACATGTTGAAAAATACAGATAGCTCATAAAGCTTGTTTGGAGTCTGTCTGAAACGTATCACATCTAATGGTGTTGACAAACGTAGCTTGGCTTGCCAAATAGGTCAGAAGAAATTCTGGAATGTTCAGAATCTGGGTATTATTTATGCTTTTCTGTCTGCATGGCAAGGGAGAAAGAATACTGAGTTGAAAAATACAGAATAGATTTAGCAACATCCTTCTGAAATTTGCGGGACCCTAATCAAGATACCTACACACTACTCTAAAACATACTGCTTTTTTGCATGCATGTGGCTAAGAACCCCTCAGGAAAATATTCAGAGAAAAATCTCTTGTGTAATATTGGTATAATACTATTACCAAGCTAATTCTGCTTCCATGACACTGTATAATGGAAAGTATTCGAAAGTTCCATGCAACTACAATTCTTGCTAAAGCTACTTCTGCCTCTCAAACTAGTTAACTAGTTTGTAGAGGTTTTTTTATTATTATTATTCCAAAGCTAATTAAGTAATATGTATTTTGTGAAAGTTCATTTGCAATCCAATTGCAAAGACTCTCTGGAGCTTATCATTTCAGATCTAAAATGACTGTGCTCATTTCGTATCAGTAATACTTTTTAAATAACTGAAAGCACTTAAAAATTGAAGGAATACACTTCAGTGTTTGACTTTCTTATACCTCATACACAGCCAAGGTGTATGTTCCTTCTACAGGTGGCACAAAAGTTGTAATTACTCCAAAGCAGATATTCTGGCATAACTGGATATTTCATGGCAAAGCTGTAAAGAGCTTGCAAATGCCATAAATTCCAGCAGTGATGTTTATGTCCACCCACGCATCTGCTACTAACTTCACGTTCATATTTTCTGACATACGTTTCACTTTTTAAAAGCATTTAACAGCACCCAAATTTCATCTACTAATTTCCAGGTGTATTTCCTTTTTAACCAAATTCTCCCATCTCATCTTTGGCCACAACTTTCAGAGAAGATGTGATTCACAACTTTACACCTCCAATACAAATTTTTCATATATTCACATATTTAGAGAAATCTTAGAAAAAATGTATTTGTGTTTGTAAGTCATTATGGCCTTTCCTGTTTGGGCAGTATTTTACATGCATTACAGGTGACAGTTGTTCTATAATTGCACTTGTAAACAACCAGGGCCAGCACAATATAAGAAACAAGACAGCAAGCATGACTGCTGGTGCCTCTTTTTCTCCACGATGGCCTCAAAGTTAGACTGATGGCTCTCTGGGCTTTTTGCCAAAACCGCACACCAGATTAAAATAGAAAGAAGGGAAATAGGCAACCTGGGGTCCAAAATTTAATTCTGACCTTATGTATAAGCTCTACGGGAGGCTTGGGCAAAGCAGAATGTTAATCTACCATATAAGGGGGGCACAAGGAAACTAGAAAAAAACTTATGAGAAAAAGAATGTATAAAATCTCTTCTCTATCGTGTGCACATTTTGGTATTTTGAAACCATGGATCTTGAAAAATAATCAAATCTTCACGTATAAACATTATGTTATTCTCAGAAAGTAACTATTTAATGTGCATTTTAGTTATATGTCCACAGCCCGCTTTCTTTCAGCATGAGATAAACTATATTTGTTATGGCTTTAACCCACTTTATTCAAACCATGGACATTTCTGTTTCATAAATTTGCAGGTTTATGGATCTCATTAACTATGAAATATGGATAGCATATCAGAAAGCAGATTTGAAAGTGAAAGCTGAAAAGTTCTCTTCATCCTATCAGAACAGGCTCTATTTACATTTTCTCTCATACTTCACAGTGGAAGTTAAGTTTTCTTCTGCTAAAACATATTTGCTAATGAACTGCTTTGCAGAAACAGAGCATTTTTTTTTATCAAATCAGTGTTCTTCACAGAACTGTTTACAGGGAGTAAACATTTTTTCTACATTTAAAATTATAACATAGTGTTAAGTCCAAAATTGCAAATGAGCAAACATTTTCATAAAATTTTACAGACGCTGACTAAGTTTAACATAACTTCCTTGAAAGCTTTGTTATTAAGTTGTTTCTAGGGATCATGATTAACTTCTCAGTGGAGAAGAAAAAGTATGGTAAACAGATTAAACTCTATTCCTCTGTTTTCCTACTATAAAACCCATATATTAATTAGCTATGTACTAGTGTAATTCATTGCACTTGGATCCTTCGATTTTAAACACAAATACCTAGAAAATTAAGCTGTTAAATACCTATTGATACCCTATTTACTAACTATTAAAATAACAGCATAACTCAATTTTGTAAAACTACTAAATAAACATAGTAATGAGTAAAAACAGTTTAAGCTATTCTGAGATGGAATCTTGAAAATGAGATGCTTGAATTACAATGCTCAGAAAGCTTGCTTTATTGATCATTATTTTCAGAATATTTATATAAGATATTCTATTAGTTTAGTCTCCTGTCCTTCCAAGAGAAAATTCACAGGACGTTATTAAGTTCATCTAGACACCACATTTCAGAAGCACAGAAAGAAGAAACAGACTATTTTTTGCTCTTCTTGTGAAGTGAGATTAACCTCATATGAATCTTCAAATTGATCCTGGTGCTACCACAAAATTACAGGTGGCTTATATATCAAGAAAAGAAAGTATTTTTATGGCAATTAATACAACATAACATCCTCTCTTGATATAGCTTGACAAGTCAGGGCTACATAACAAGCTAAGAAACAGCAACTATTTTCCACTGGGAGATCCAGGTCATCAAAACACAGGAAGGGAGGTTAATTTGAAGGCAATGGGGGAAAGTTTTGAAACTGTTATTCACCGATTCACAACCTCAGAAGGG